TACACGTGTAATTTGATACCATAAAATGGTTGAAATTGGCACCAATGACCGCTATCAATTATTGGTGTAGTTTTACATTCATTAATGCCAAACACAACTAGAAAATGGGCCGTTTCCCAAATACATCAGTATACTTTTGTATTTACACCGCATCCAAACGAAACCAAGATCTTCCAACCAAATTTTACCATATTGATTCTCTTGGGTTTTCAAATTCCTAAACCTCCCAAACTAATTGGCTTGTATAGGTTCCTCCACTTTGTCCATGCAAAAACCGACTTGTGACCCTCTTTTTTTCCTATAAAAATTTTCTTTGAATTTTATTAATGTTATTTTGAGATTTTTCTAGTAAGGCTGCGTTTGGAAATGATGCAAATAAGTGTGAATGCAAATATGTAGAGTGTAAAACGGTTCATATAAAATGCAAAATTGGGTTAGTTTTACATTGACAAAATTTACCTTCTTACTAAACAGACTTTTAGATGTAATGGATGCAATCATGAATTCTAGTAAAGCATGTGCTTTTTTTTTTTTTTATCAAAAGCCCATTATGCAAATTTACTTCTTTTTTATTGATGTATTTTTACATCTCATTATCAATGTAAATATGCATTAGTCTGTCATTTGTCAATGTATAAATATAATGTTGCCAAATACAAGTAAAAGTGAATCAGAATACAAATTTACCCGAACCGAGATTCATACTCCATTTGCATCGTTTCCAATCACAGCCTAACGAAAAACAAGATATTTATTAAAAAGGAATAGCACTAGTTACAACTTTGATGAAGGGTTAACATTCTCGCTTTTAGTGTTTGACTTCTACCCTTACGGTTTGTCTTTAATTCTCTCAATAATTTTTGAAATTTGATCTTTCATTAATGTTGGCCATTATTGGGACTCCCGGATATTTTTTCATTTTGCTCGGGATTCCCATTTGGATTCCATTATGTTCCCATAGACTTTTGAGACTTACGTAGTGGATGTTAATTACGTCCCTTAATTTTTAAATCATGCATATCGGCAAACAACCCTCTTAGTATATGTTTGACATTGATGCTACAGTTGCAGCAGTGTTGCTGATGGGTGGATTGGAGTACCGTTTTTCAAAAAAAATGGTGCATTTTTTTGTTTGGAATCGTTGCTGCCAAGTAGGATGTTTTCTAGAGCAACATCAACTTTTTCTGTTTGGTACTAATGCTCTAGGAAACGTTTTCTACAGTTCTATCTATTATCCATTGCCACATCATTGCCCTGTTGGCAGCAATGAATTGCAGTTCCAAGAACACCAAATTTGGCATTGCTCCAAGCTATGCCTTCTCAATTTCCAAGACATGGATTGAAGAACCATTTTCTATGGAAAAACGGTTCCAAACAGAAGACTGTTTCCTGGAGCACCGTTTTTTCCTATATGGCACTGATGTGATATCGTTTTCTAGAGCAACAACAACAGTTCGAAATTCATGCAGTTTTCAAGTGAAATCAAAAACTAAAATTAAATAACAGAACCCAAAGACTTATCTAATTCTATTTCTCAAGTCAAATGAAGAACCCAATCCTAATATTTGGTATAAGGTTTTCAACTAAAATATCGAAAGGAAGTACTCAACAAGTTCATTCTATGTAAGGGTTGTGAATCAGTGTTATGGTAAAACTATTACTATTTCAGTGAACTTTCCATTAGGAATGGGAAGGTGATCTCCATTTTTGAGCTTGTCACCACGTAAGAGGTGTAAACTGAGCCGCCCTGTCACTAAGTACGATGGATTGCAAGCCATGTGCAGTATGACATGATCGATGTGCCGTGCTGGGTTTAGGGTTTTAGGTCCATTGGTTGGCATAGCACGACATGATTGAACGGACTGTGTCACCCACAACTCATGTGCCGATATGACCCAAACTGTAGCCTAGCCTGGCCCGTGGCACGACCATATATATCTTATATATAATATGTATATATATTATGTTATATAATATATTAATATATAGTTTTATTTTCAATTATATTATATTATTATTGCATATATAAACAATATTGTTTACATCAAAATTCATATAAAATAAAATTTTAAGATATATATTTTTTAATTTATATTAAAACTTTCATTATTTTTTTTTTCAAAATAAAAGATAAATATGGCTTGGCTCAATTTATAGCCCAACCTGGCCCAAGGCTCGGCTCACAGACCAGTTTGGTCCATGGCATAGCATGGAATCACGCGAACTTAGATTTTGTGATGTATTAGACCAACCCTCCAAAGTATCTCAAGGAAGGAAGCACAACTCGCATTAACCCGCACTTTGCACGTGCAGCATGAGGGCATTATGTCATGCCGACCCAGCATGGCCCTATTAACACTCTTAAACATCAAGATATAATGAGCAGTTTCTTGGGTTTGGGTGAGGGAGGACTAAAAGGAAGAAGTTTGGTTGCCCCAATTACCCACATGTCTCATATTCAGTGGATAAGGATCCGCCAATGAATGAATGAATCATCCTAATTTCTAAGAGGTTGATTGGGCCAAAATGGGCTTACATGAAACCATTATATAAGTTCATAGCCATGGCCCTGCCATTAAAACGGAAAACACGTGCAAAATAATTGAGTGGCCCAGACTCACCTACTAATCTTGGTTTGTAGCCACATATGTGAAGGTTCTTCCTTGGAACATTATTATAGTAAGGCGTTTGATCATGAGTTGCAAGCTAAGGAGTTTTCTAGAAGAGCAATTGCCCATGACATACACCTAGAAGAGTAGTTGGCCACTTGATGCGGTCCCATACAGAGAGAGAGAGAGAGAGGTGTGGATGGATGTGGGTTACCATAGAGCCACGCCAGTGCCATATAATTGACATTGGTAGGGGGTGAGAAGAGTTGACCCAGTAACTGATCCAACTAAATTTACTAGTTTATAACCTAACACAGTGGGGTTAAAAGAATAATATAATGGTTGAAATGAGAGATGGGTGAGTTGTTGGAAAATCAAGGCAGGATGTACCTAATTAATCTGTTATGTTCATTTTTTTTTTCTTTTCTAATTAAAGAAATATAGACAAGGATTAGTCTCTAACCGAATCCAGGCTGAGAGGCTGGGTCGTTGGGTCCCAGTTCAGTTGGGGGGGAGTGGTGAAGCCACCAAGTGAAGTGAAGGATAACAACCTCAAATCATCTCGTTTATAGACAATTCAGCAGTATCAGTATCAGTAGGGTCCACATTAACTAAAATTAGAAAACATTACGCGATCCATCCAATCCAAGGGCACACCTGTAAAATTCCCTTGCCTTTGTTTGTTCCTCAAACAAACACACACAGGAGATGAAAAGAGAAGGTTGTATCTTGTAAGTTCACCAAACTCCTCCAAACTTGGATTAGAAAGAGTAAAAGAAAAGTTGCTAGATCTCAGTATCTAACCACCACTCCACACTCCAACGTCCAACCTTCTAACACGTACAAAACGTGGTCATCTTCCTCTCTCCTCTCTTTTTCTCCCTCCCCTTCTCTTCTTTAGAGCAAGAGTGCATCATCATCATCTCCGTTAACTGTCTTTTACTCAACCATATCACAAATTCCCCTTCCCCTGTTTCCTCCGTCTCTGTACACTTGGCATGCAAAGGGAGCATTGGATGAGGGACCACCTTCCACCTTAGTGATCCAAAAACACACAGTGTGTGTGTGTGAGAGAGAGAGAGAGAGGGCATCTTATTCACCTACATGTATACAAAAACTTATAACTAATAATAATAAAAGGGGGGAGGGGGGCAGAGGTCTTGTGGTTGGCGTGGAAGTGAAGCTACCAAATGATTGGCATTAGCTTGCTTGCAAGCGACGCATCAATTTCGATTACACTTTAACTCCCCAACCACATTACCCATCAGCCATCGCTGGTTTACATCAGCCAACTTGGGGAAATAGTGTAGGGTGGGGTTGGGGGTTGTGCTCCTTCCCTCTTAACCCTCTCTCTCTCTCTCATGTTAGAGGAGTAGTTACAACGTCTCTCACTTGTCTGCTGGCTTCTGCCCGCGCCTTCTCCATTCTCCAAGGCCCAAGCCCATCTCTGAATTGAACTTTTCTCAATTAATATAATTTATCGTTACCTGCTATAACTAATTAAGTAACTAACTTCTTGGTGCCATTATTTTTCAATTTCTGATTAAAATGTCTCACCCTACTAAGTTCTAACCATCTGATTTACATCAACCAAATGATAATTCTGACCAGATGATCACTGTCATCATTATTTTTTGATAAATTATTCCAAAATCAGTACTTTATTCTATTTCTACCCCCCYCCCCCACCCTGCACACCTCTCTCTTATTCCCGTTTGATCGGATGGCTAAGAGCTAGTAGCTTTATACATTGATTAATTGGGAAATTGGACCCGCTGGAGACTTGGAAATTTGTTCAACTTTAATTATTTATAGCACCCGCCGGGAACATTTACTATTTATTATCAAGGTGGACGACTAGCTTATACTTTTCCTCATCTAATGACTCGGCAAAATACGCCCAAATTCAACTTTGTTTGTTGCACCACTCCACCCTCTCTGTTTCAAACTTCAAAGTCCACGGCTGAGGGGGTGCAGCCAGCACCTGCACCTATAACTAAAAGGAAGAATATCCACATCCAATATTCCATTACCGTCTGAGGTTAATTACCAAACCAACAATTAATCTAGAAACTCAATTTCGTCCATTTTTATATTTATATGGTGTGAGAACTGGGAAGCATGCATTCGTATATCAGCCGTAGAAATCTTGACACCTGCTCACGTGTCATCATGTGTTTGGTATCACCATTTCATTTTGCCACGTGGCTCACTCACGTTAAAGGATTCGTCAGAAGGTGATGACGGAGAGATGGACAAACAGAGTAAAGAGAAGAAAACGATGGGCATTTCTTGAAACAACAACAACACAAGAGAAAGGAAGGCCCTCCTTTTATATTCAACTAACCAACCAAACCTATGATAATAAAGGACGGTGTAAATATATAAATAATTTATGTGAATAGTAACCTCTTACCTTTCAAAGTTCAAACCACACCCTCCTCCATATGTATATATACCCACTCCAACCAACCAAACAAACCCAAAACTCAAATCCAACTCAAAATCTCCTTCGCTTGCTTTACTTCCCTGCTCCTTCCTACCTCATGGACTGGATCAGAGGCCGGACCCTCGGCCGTGGGTCGTCGGCCACGGTTTCGCTAGCTTCAGCTGTCCAGTCCGGCGAGGCTTTTGCTGTTAAGTCGATTCAGCTCTCACGATCTGAATGTTTGAAGAGGGAGCAGAGGATTCTGTCTTGTATTGGGTGTTCTCAAGTGGTTGGCTACAAAGGATGCGATGTCACCTCCGAGAATGGTCAGCTTGTCTACAATTTGTTCATGGAGTATGTACCCGGTGGCACCTTAACGGACGCAATTCAGAAGCAAGGTGGTCAGCTCGATGAGTCTGCAATTCGATCTCATTGCCGTGAAATTCTTCGTGGGTTGCATTACCTTCACACCAATGGTATAGTACATTGTGACATTAAGGGTCGGAATGTCCTAATTGGGAAGGATGGAGCTAAAATTGCCGACTTGGGGTGCGCCAGATGGGTCGACGAGGTAACGCCATTTGCAGGAACCCCGGTCTTCATGGCGCCTGAAGTCGCTCGTGGGGATGAACAGGGGATCCCTGCCGATGTGTGGTCTGTTGGATGTACAGTGATTGAGATGGCCACCGGCCGTCCCCCGTGGCCGGAAGTTGCCGACCCCGTTTCTGCCCTTTACCGAATTGCGTTTTCCAAAGATACGCCAGAGTTGCCGAATTGCTTGTCCGAGCAAGCAAGGGATTTCTTGAGCAAGTGTCTAATGAGGAATCCAAAAGAGAGGTGGACGACTGCACAGCTTCTTAAGCATCCATTTCTGGGTGAATCCAATTCTCATTTCAAGCAAATCCAGGGCGCTGATTCGGATTCTCCCACGAGTATATTGGATCAAGGCTTCTGGGACTCACTTGAGGAATCGGAAACACATATAAATTTCAATTCTTTGAATTCTCCGGCCGAAAGGATCCGGCGGTTATGTGGGGGCATTTCATCGTCGTCTCCAAGGCTGCCCGATTGGACCTGGGACGAGAATTGGGTCACCGTGAGAAGCAGCACCAATAACAGCAACGATGGAGAAGAAGAAGAGGGGAATTCCTTGAGACGAGAGCAGAACATGATCCCTGCCGATGAACCAACAACGAGTGGTGGGCCATTTACAGTTGAAATCAGTAAGGAGGAGGGGCTTAATTTTAATGGAAGCCTTGTCGTGAATGGAGATTCCTTGAATTACTCGGTTAATGATAGTTGTTGCAGAGTAGTTAGTGGTAGGAGAGGCTCTGTTCAGGCCTGTAAATGTAATAAAGTGAATGTTTTGTCTAGAAGCAATCTCAATTATGAAAGACATAAAAATAATTCATTCTCTCTTTATTCCCAATTCTCTTTGGAAATGAAATAAAATAAAACCAAACTCCGATCTCTCTTTCACAGTCTCACTTTTATTTTGTTTTTTTTTAATATTTAGGCAAGTAAAGTAGTAAGCCGGTCTCATCTCATCTTGTCATTAGGTCCTGATTCCTGAAATCATCGTGGTTTAATAAATAATATTGCTTCTTGTTGAAGCAGCTAGCAGCCTACCACAAACAGCGAGGGAGCCCCGGCGGTGACTTTGAACGTCGTCGGTGGCAAGTCAACCTCTGAGATTCCTTACGTCGAGATGATGAGAGATTTTTAGGTTCTGTTTCTGGCGATGGGAGTAGGTAATTTCTAATTAGGAATTTTGGAATTTGGATTGAAACTTGAAAGGACAAGCAATGAAGCAACCGAGTGAGTTTATGAGTTGGGCGTGGGCCAGCTAAGGTGAGTTTATGGGACCCATCACAATTCACAAAACAAGGTGGGTCCAACGCCGACGATCTATTACACGTGTGGAAATAAGGAGGACAGTTAGGGTCGGGTCGGAATCCTTCACGGTATCAAGTATCAACTATCAAAGGCCCTGAATCTATTCCACCTGGTTCATTGACTTTTTCAAATTTCTTTCCCTTTTTTTATTTGATGTAGCCTGTAGCCTGTAGGGAGGGGGGAGAGCCTAGCCGGAGAAGTGCAGCCAGAAATGCAGAAATTCCAGACACTGGATGGATCTGGATCTGGACTTTTTCTGTGTATGATCAGAAGAACCAAAATAAAATGGGATCGGCAGGGAAACGTTGACCGCTGATAGTGGGAAAACGGATTTCTGTCATCTGACGCGAAGGGCGCGACGACTTTGTGAAACAAAAGAAAACTCAAAGTCGTCTAGTGTGAACATAAAAGACTGGATTCGGGGCGTGTGGTGTGGGTATGGTCAATTCTCGTCAACCCATTCAGCTTGCGGTGTGCCTGGCGTGTACGTATAAGGATTTTATTTTAGATGTTTCCATGACCGACGAAGCTTCGTTCGTTCAAGGAAGGTGCGATTGTGCGAAATTGAACAGCTAGAGCCTGCCAGTAGATGAGGCTTATTTAAGCCAATGTTTTCTACGTTCTACCTACTAAAAAAGATTGCCCTGTCTAGTTATTATGTACTCTAGAGAAAGAACCAAAGGAAAGACGACGGAAGATAAAGAGTGAATGAAACGAGGACAACAAGGATCACTTCTTATTTCTTTAAGCTATTAAATGCCGTCGTTGATGGATAGGACATTAGGACCCCACCCGTAAGGCGTAAGGGTGAGGATGCGAGATTATTGACAAAGGTGCTTCAACCAATTTCTTAGGTACGTTGTTTGGAGATCTTGTTGATGTTATATATAGCTTGCTAATCATAGTTAGGTGTAACAAACAGAGCAGATATTAATGATATTATTCCCGTACCGAATATGATGTAATTATAGTTACACGTGAGGCACTCCTCTACATCGTTATTGCTTACATAATAGACACTTCCTACCTTGCTAACCAACACAAATACCTCCCCAGCCCCCACCCCACCCTTCGGCCTTTCCCGACCAAATCGGATTGGAGATGGACACTGCTCTAGTTGGAAAGGGAAAGGGGATAGGGGTGGCAATTTTCCCCATCCTGGGTATCAGCCTCGCCTACCCGATGGGGTCGGAGATGGAGATTGCCTTGATGGGGTGGGGGGGTGAAATCCTTGTATATATATAATATTTGTTTATTTTAAGTAAATTTATTTTATTTTTTTTTAAAATATTATTAATTAAAAAGTTGTAAGGATTCGAATCCCTATAGGGAACCTGTCTTCGTTGGGGATCAGGGATGGAGGATAATCATTATCCCTGGTAGGTGTCGAGGTCGAGAACGGGGAATATAGTCTTTGCCTTGAACCCACCCCGTTGCCATTCCAAGATGGGATTGGGATGAATTAAAATACCCATTAGGGATTGGGATGAAGCCCCCACCTCGACCCAACATGGGCTACAATATTTTAAACATTTTAAAATATTATTTGTATATATGTTCTTAAATATATTTATTTTCATTTCAATTTAAATAGATATCAATTAAGTGTTAAACCAATTTAGATTAATGATTTTTTTTTTGCTTTTTTTGTAAATTTTTTTCCAAAGCAAGGTTTTAATTTTTTTGGGAAAATTCCTGATTATTACCCTGAGCTTTAGGGGTTGTCTCAAGTCAATCCCCAAACTTAATTCAAAATGTGTCTTTGTAGTATCCGAACTTTCAGAATGTGTCTAATAGGTCCCTGCCATTAACGGTCCATAAGTTAATTTTGGAAATGTCAAAACTACCCTTTAATAGAAGATGATGTTCATTGTCTTCCTCTTTAATTTTGGAAATGTCAAAACAACACCACCTTCGCTCAACGCCTGCTCTCTCCCTCTTTGATTTTCTGGTTATGGAGTTCTCTAAATCCTCCATCGGAAAGTCCTCTCACTGGAGGGAACACCAGGGCCCCCGCCCAACCCCCCTCAAAGTCTGTAAAGCCTCTTACAAGATCAAGAAGCCATCGGAGCCACCCCATCCATTTCAGTGCTCGGAGCCACTAGCCCAAAATTTCCCAGCTGTCATAATTTACACAATTTGCAACCGCTGGCCCAATTTCTCCAGTAACCCAGTTTGCAACCATGGAAAATGATGGTGCACTTTGGTGCTCCCTGCTAGAGGATAGCTCGGACGTTGGGCTAATGAGGTCAGTTGACTGAGTTGCAAGAAGACTGTAGTCAAAGTACCCGGGGTGGGAACTTTGATGCTTAAGTTAGCGAAGAGTGCTAAATCGTGCGTACCTTCTCTGATAAATGGAATATCTTTATATAAGCGTAGGTTGTTGTAGATTTCACATAGCGTGTCCGAGATCTCTGGGAGGACGCAGCTTACCAGCTCGCCTCGCTGAGAGGCGGTTTCACACTTGGAGACAGCTTCTGTGTAAAGTGATAGAGCTTATCCAGTTGCCTCCAAAGCGAATGGGGTAGGAGTCGGCTCCGCCCAATGAGGCGACGTGATCTCGAAGGATTCATAGACGATAGCCCACACACAAGGGAGGTCAGTCGCCATGTCATGTAGGTCGCCAACCGAGCTTCTGTCAAGTTGGCGGAGGAAGGTCGCCTCTCACACCGACTTGACCTTGTCGAGGTATCCTCAGGTCGGTCCTGCCGAGGTGGTGCCGGGACGGTTAAGGCAGACGAGGTGTGCTCGAGGTGCTTTCTGAAGTCTTTGCCTACATGGTGATGAGGTGTTATGTGACGGTTCCGGGGTCTTACGTGTCACGATGTCATTGAAGGGCCAAATCACGCCTCATCAATTGCCCCTAACTCCCGAATCGAGGTCAGTTGGGCAAAGGGAGTAACTCGATGTGGGTCTTTGGCCCGAAGTGACCGGTCGGTTTGAGTCAGCTCGATCTGCTCGCCTGGGTCGATCCAATTGTCAGGCTTGGCATGCACAGGTCGCAGTAGATTCAAATTTCAAATAGAGCTATGAATCGTCAAATCGAACGCATATTGGTCGTTGGTTGTTCACATCCCTTGCCTATAAATAGGGGGCCCTTAAAGGGTCCTATTCACACTATTTTTGAGCCTTTTACGGAGGAGTAGAACTAGAGTTCAGAGAGTTTGAAGGAAGCAAGATCTGCGATGAGGTTGATTTCAGTTCGGCTAGGCGAGGTTGATCGCTTTCCTTAGGGTGTTGGTGAGTCCTTTCCTCTTGCCTAAATTATGTTTTCAAGCGAGTCAGAGAAGGAATACTACCAATTTGCCTGAGCCGAAGTGGGTACCTCTTTTCAAGAGCAATGGGGGTCCCAAACAGGGGCTTCAACCTCTCAACGTGAATCAAAGACGAAAGGAGCTACCGAGCTGAGTGGAGAGGAGATCATAGGTTTGATCTCGACTTTCCAAATTCCAAATACATTTAGCTGCATCTAGCCCAGAACCAGTATCCCTAGGGTCATGGTCGGGTCAAAGTCTGTGTCTTTAAGGAGGTTCTGATTGTCGGCCTTCAATTTCCCCTTCATCCTTTCATCTATGAGATTCTTACGCACTACAACATCTCCTTAAGTCAGCTTCACCCAAACTCTGTTAGGACCACCATAGGGACCATCTCGCTTTGTCACCTCCTCGACTTCCCCTTGGACATACGAATCTTCTTAGGACTTTGTTAGATAAAGAGAGCTCCCAACGAGCCCTACTATTACTATTTAAGCTACCGACTTGGTTGTAATCTCCTAGGTGGCTTCCTGACCAAGGTGAAGCGCTGGAAGACGAGGTACTTCTTGTCTCAAGAGAAAGGCTGGCCTATGGGCATCACTTGAAAGCTGAGCCAAAAAAGGTTCCTAAGATAGAGTTCGATGAGGCATTGTGCAACAAGGTTCAACTCCTTGTAGCTTGGTGGTTAATGATCTACGATTTCTTGGCCAAGCTGATGTTTATCTAGGTTGGTCAGAGCCTCGTAGGTAGGTCGGCCTTATTGTTCTTGGTTACTTTTGTGCTCTGATATGCTTCATTTCCTTGGCTAACTCTTTGCTTTTCTATTGCAAATATGTCGAGCACTTCATCCGTTCTGGCTGCTACTAAGAGGCCTTCCAAAAAGAAGAGAAGGGCTGGTGACTCCTTAGCTTGTTCATCGGTGATGGAACAAGGGTTAGCCGTAGATAGGTTGATTGGACAGGAGCACGAGGTGGTCAATCTCAAGGAGGGAGGAGACCCTATGTATGTTGATCCATCTCATGTCATCCTGAGTCCAGCAGCTCACTTGCCCCACGTCGTTGCCATTGAGCATGTAGCTGGTGCCTCCAACTCGCAAGATCCACCGTTCATCCCTAATGCGGGTGTTTCGATCACCCATCAGATTCACGACCCCTTAGTCACCCTTCGGATGGGAAAGGGGATCCTCCTCCTTGAGGATGTTCGAGTCTTTAAAGAGGTCGACCTTGTTGACGTTGACACTAAGATTATTTGGGGCAAATTGCAGGTACGTAACCCCACTTGAAATGTGTTGGACAGTTTTGTATGCCCTTAGC